TTTGTTGCTTTCAATGTATATATCCATCTTAATATTACTTTGTACTAATGAATAATCTAATAAATGTAATTAATTGAATGTAACAGAAAAAAAGTACCTCACCTCAAAAAACGCGCCATTTCGACCACAGACCCTGAGCGATATGTGCGCAGCGCACTGTTGTGTTGCCAACCTAACTCAGCAGGCAACCGGAGGAGGAGAAGAAAAGAGTCCAAAATAATTAACCATGGTTTTACCACAAATAAAACCAAAAAACATGGTTATTATAGTTAAAGCATGGTAACCACAAATTAACCATGGTGTACAATAGTTAAACCATGGTAACCACAAAAATTAACCATGGTTTTACCACAAATAAAACCAAAAACATGGTTACAATAGTTAAACCATGGTAACCACAAAAATTAACCATGGTTTTACCACAAATAAAACCAAAAAACATGGTTATTATAGTTAAAGCATGGTAACCACAAATTAACCATGGTTTTGCTACTCTAATCATAGTTTAAAAATGGTATTTGTAGTAAAACTGGTTATACAAATGGTAATCAATACACCAAAAAAAAAAAAAATACATGTTTGCTACACTTTTACTACGATAAAACCATGGTTTATTTTATTAACCATGGTTTAGCGACACTGCCTCTCTGGTATGGGCCGTTGTTTTTGAATTATGAAGAAAGAACAACTTGCTTAAAACCAGTTAAACTCTGCGGACCCGGATACGTTTTTCATTTCCTCCATTGTATGTGTGCAGGGTAAACATTTGAATTTGAGTATGTTAAATTTAGGCGAAAATACCAAAAAACGCGCCGAGCTTAAGTGGTTTTAATTGTGTTGATCAGCGTAGAAAACAAAAAGTGTAGATTACATGAAATATGAAGCCAAATCTTGCTGCAAAATCATATCTTTTAAATAATCACATTCTTTTACAAAAATAATCGCAAAGTTTAAATCTTAAACCTGGCTCTAAATCCCTGCAGTACCATGAAAGACCTGATTTTAACTGATTACTTCGTCTACTGCTGTAGCGATACAGACAGAAACATGCTTGTGATAAAACGTCTTTATTTTCTTTTGATGCTTCTGTGTCACTCTGTGAGTACGGGGCTGAAAAGTTAAATTTTTAGGTCAAGTGAGAACTACATACATAATAACATAAATGTACAGGTAGTATGTAAACTAAGCCAATCACCAATATTAGACATTAGAATGTCCCTGAAATAGCCGTTTTGTTTGTTTGTTTGTTTTGCAGTAAGAGGCAGTGAGGCTCTTCCTGACTACTTCCAGGAGTTTGTCATTTCTGGATGTGTAAAACAAGCCAAACTTCATGGGGCGAGAGAGCTCAGCACTAGATAACAAGACAGCTGTAACTCTATGGACCAACTGAAAAACATCCAGACTCTTGTGCCACTGCAAACACAAACACACCTACAGTCGCATTACATATTCCCAAGAACATTCATTTCATATGTAATACTTTGAGCCAACACACATTCATGCTATTGAACACAAGCAGATCAATACCCTCGGCGCCATGAATACCCAGATACACTTGCACCCACACACACATACACCTATTCTGTAATGCATCTGAATGGACTAGGTCTGATAAACTTAGGCATGATGTAATTCTGATGTAAAGAGAGTCCTCTCAGTCTCTATAGTCAAAGCTCCAGGAAGTCTCTGTCCAGGTCCCTGTAACTAGGGATGTCAACGATCGATTAATTGTCAATAAGAAATGTAATCGATTATAGCTATCGATGGTCGATTAAGCAAGGTAGTTTTGGGGTGCGTGCGGCTCATGCGCAAAACACGTGCAGCAGAAGCGGCTGTGAGTGACTGTGACGAGGCTGGATCTTTTACGCAAATAATTCACAATGTACAAATTATGCTTTTAATGTGATCCAAACTTTAAAAATACATTAAAATAGAAACAATACAAAGTCCATCAACATGGAAAGCAATGGAAATCACCGTTTGTAAATGGTCAGAAAAGCGAATAATATCTTCAGCACGAGCGAGACATTTATATTGGATGTTGAGCTGCTGAGGAAAGCGAAAGTGAATACCGGTGCATGTGACATGCTGAAAAAACACATTTTAAAAAAATACATTAAAGGGTTAGTTCACCCAAAAATTTTAATTAGACTGGCTCCGGGGGGTGAAAAAGGCCTTCTGTAGTGAATCCATGCATTTTTGTAAGAAAAATATCCATATTTCAAACGTAATAAACACTTTTCTCTCACTTTAGGTATCTGTCATACGCGGAAGGCGTTCCGGCAGATGACGCAGCACGTATGCGCAGCGCGTGCGCCTCTGAGATATGCTAGTCTCGCGAGTTTGTTTACAGGATCAAAGGAAGCAAAGTTTCCTTACTTTAGCAAAGGAAAACCAGTCTCCTCTTGGTTT